ATATATGTTTTATTATCTTAATATTTTATTTTTTTAATTTAATATTCTATCATATTTATCTACATTTTATTCATAAATTTAAGTATTTACATCATTTTTAAAAAGGCATGCGCTGCACCATGGTTTACACTGCATGACTCCACGGATACCTTTTTGTGCTATAATTTAACATTTGCCGTTAAATACGGAATAAATACTTGCAGGAGCGAGCAGCTTCGTATCACCATGCTCATGCGCCGATCACCGTTTCTAGGCTCTTTTTTTTTTTGGATTTAAGGAGGTGGAAATTAAAATGCAAATGCAATATAAAATTTTACTAGGAGATAATTCATTATAACTAAATGTTGAACCAGCTATAATCCAATAATAAATGACAATTTTGAATTTAATCCGTAACAATTTATCTGAATTTTGTTTTTTTCTTCTTAATTTTATTAAGGTAATTTCTTAAGAAATTGTTTGGTAGCTGTTTCCATGTTAATTGTTATTCAGAATATTGTTGCTAATTTATTCGTTTTATTTTTTATTTTTTTGGGAGATGAACGAAATGTGGTTTCTTTTTACAGGTTCTGCTATTGGGTTCCGTCTGGACAGTCTCTTAAAGCTGACAGATACTCGTGCAATCAATAGCAAAATGACACTAATGCACTATTTGTGCAAGGTAAAATAGCCATTTGTTTTTTATGGAAGATTTACACGCATACCACAAATTTCTTGTGTGTTTACATATCTAACACCTAATCTTCAATTTTTACATATATACCATATTACCTATGTGTGAAAAGATTTATTCTGCCTTTTAAAGTTAAAATAGTGGTTTTGTTATGTGATATGAAAGATTTGGTTGGTATACATGTAAAAAAGTAGAGTTTAGGTTTTAGATATGTCAATACATAAGAATTGGGTGGTATGTATGTAAATGCCTCTTATTTTCTCCATGTTGCCGTTAAATTAATTAATCAGATGTTTTGTTTGAAAAAATTCAACTCTTCATAGTGTTTACTGGTGTTTGGACTAGGTTTATAATGGTGACTTCAGAATTTCAGCATTATGCTTGGTTGTACTTTTCTGTTGATTAATATTTGATGATATGACTCGACAATTTTTATAATTGAAATTTATTTCAATATTATCTTTATATTTGTATTGAATTGCTTATTAGCTGCTATGATATTTTTCATTTCTTAACTTGCGCTTTGGTATGAAGATTTTTCAGAATTTGAGAAGCTTGTGTGGTACCATCTGATTATTGATAAATCTGTAAATAGCTAAGTATTGGTAGGCAAGGTTTTGTCACTTCTTCTTATGATTGGGCAACAAAGTAGAAGTATTCGTTTTAAATTATGAGATTACTTTTGAACTATATATTAGCTTTTTGCCTCATTGATAGATCTTTGTTTAATTGAGAGAATGACCAATTTGTTTTTCAAACTATTTACGTTGTGTTCATCTTGACCCTAAGCAAGTCTTATTCTTCGATATAATCTCTCATCAAAACTTGACTATTTGGGTCTTCCATCTTCAATTTGACTTTTTTTGATAAATTTGGACCAAATGAGAGAATGTGAAGATAGGAGGCTTGTAATGAACACTCCCAAAATAGTAATAGTCAAGGGATCAGTTTGATTATTTATATTTTTTAATTTGAGTATTATATAACAATATGCCGATAATGACGATCTTATAAGATTTTGGTGCGAGGAATACAAAAATATGTATAAAATACAAAAGCCCTTAGTCATTTGAAGCACTTAATGTATAGGTAATATGAATGATCTTAAAGTTAAAAAAAAAAGGAAACTAGTCCACACCAAACTTGAAAATATATGCATTACAATACAAATAATAATCTTCTTACTCTGAATATCTACAATCAAATTTTCTTTTCCAGCAACTGATATTGATTTTCTCTTTTACATGAATTTGTGTATTTTAACATTCCTCTCCATTTGGTGAATGGATGTTTTCCATTTTAGCTTCCATACAATTATTTTAAGCAATCCGCTTTGTTATCCCTTGGTAAAGAATATTTGCAAGTTATCAATCAGTAGATTCATAGGGTGTGCTAAATGAGCCGTTGTCTAGCCTTTTTTCAGGTGCATTTACTTGTATGCTACCCAATTCTTATGTATTTACATATCTAGCACCTAATCCTTACTTTTTTTACATTTCTACAGCCGAATTCTTTCATATGACATAAAAATATACAACCATTTTAAATTTTATAACTTCAAGTACACCTTTTCATGTATAGGTTAGGTGGCATAATTGAAAAATTAAAGTTTGGGTGTTAGACCTATAAATACATAGGAATTAAGTGGTGTGTATGTAAATCTTCCTTTTTTTAATAACTCCGAGGTGACCTCCGTATGATTCTTAAATTCATTTCGAGCTGGATTTTAAGCTATGATGATTGCATGCTTACTATTACAATTAAGTCTTGTTTGGCTGTTCCATTGTGTCTTTCAAATTTTTTTGAATTTTGTTTAGCCACAATTATAAACAAGCAAGCTAAGCCATTACTTGGAACTATTCTTCAGCTTTTGATCTTGTTTTCATAGTTTTCTTCGTATTTTTATTTGTTATAAGATTCCTACCAAAAGTGCAATTTTCAAAAATTGATTTTCTATTCACAATTTGGCTTGACATAATCATCATTTAAGTCGTGCTTTAATACTGACATTTTGTTTAGATTGGACATAAATTGGTGGTAATACATTTTCTTGTCCGCTGCATTCTCCTCAGCTTCTCAAAGCCTAGATTTATTATTTTCAATGTTATTTACTTAATTTGTAAATACAGTGAATCTCAATGCTTTTAGCTATGTTAAAAAATGGGCTCTATTCATACTTACATGTATATTGTATGTTTATAATACCTAAATTTAATTCCTAATGAAGTTTTGTGCTTCCAAAATGTAAATTAAAACTTTTAACCTTCACATTCCACTCTAAATATTTAGGCAGGGAAGTCAGTAGATTTCATAGTTATTTGGTTATTGTTGAAATTTATGCTTCCCTAAATTGATATTTGGAAAATGGCCTTTTCATAAATTCTTCAATAATTTTATCTTTTTGGGTATACTACTTCTGTCTTTCATTATTATTATTTATTTACTTTTTTTTTTGCAAGCTGCTTGTCTCACATTTCATGAATTTGCCGACTATGTAGTATAGCTCAAGGTAAGCTTTCTTGATTTTCTTTTGGAATTTTTATGATCAAAACTTCTTGGATGCTGCCATATTTTTTATAGTTCATAGGACCAGAACCTAATTTTTTTTACTCTCTTTCCTTCCTTTTTTACCACCCTTTATTTTTTGAATCATGCCTTATCCGATTGCTACTATTTATCTTATTTATGTTGCAAAAATTTTATAAACACTTGAGATGATTTTATCTTTCATTAAGCATATTGTTGTATTTCTTTAAAAATATCAAGAAATGTTATTTCGGAGTACTCAAATTAAATTAAACTGTATGAATCTTGTCTAAGAGAACATCTAATATTTTTTAATTGTTTTGATTTCAAAGTAATGTATAGAGTTAATTTTTGTATGGGCATTGAATTTGTCTAATTTTTCATTTAATTCAAATATTTACCAAAAGTGATTAAAGAATTAGATATTCAAGTTGTTCATAAGTTCTAGATCGGCGTCGATGATCTTAAAATTATTTTTGAAGAAAATAACATTAAAATATTTGCATGGAGAATGATTTTTATATACATAAAAGAATTGCATGTGCTTGATTGACAACTATTTTTTGTATGTTAAAAAGTTTTATTCTCCACTCAATTAATTTCTATGTTAGTTTCTTTAAATACTATATCAAGATTATGGCGGTGATCTGCAATTTAGGAATAACTTGGTGATCAAATTTGATATCAGTTAATGAAGATTCAAGTACTATTTTTGGTTTTTTTTAATACCTAAATCTGCTGAAAAATTTTTAGATGTCTTCTTGTCTTTCTATACACACCAAAAAATTTTCATTTGATACTAGTACTCCATGATGAATCAGTTGTCTCGTGATCTTGAGTTAACGCTAGGGTGTCTTTTTAATCCTTGATTCATGATCAAATCAGCTTGAAATTTCTTACAATTTGACATCATACTACTTTTTATGTTGCACTATAAGGTGAAAAATCTTGATTTTCCAATTTTATGTTATATTATTGAATATAGCACAAAATAAAACCACACAAATAAATACCTTCATCTTTATAAAAATATTTTAGTCTAGTTGAGCCAAGTCTAAACGTTAAATCCATGAGTTTGATGTCTAGTTGAGCCAAGTCAATTTTGAACTGGTTCTAATTATTAATTTCACGAAATTTGTTTCTAATCACTAATCTAAATTATTATATATTTATATATATATATATATATATATATATATATATATATTGAAAAGACAAAATTCATTGATATAAAAGAGATGATACAAATATTTTAGTGAGTGGGTATAAAGAGCCTACTCACAGAGGTTACAACTTACTCAAAAGGAGACATAAACCACACATAATCCCCAAAAATATAAAAAAACAAGAAAACAACTCCTAATCATGGTGGGTGTACTCGGTGGATTTACCGCTCCCCTTTCCCCTGGATCTAGATTGAGAGTCCAACAACATGCCGAGATGTGGGCTTCCACCCGAAACTATGAGACAGTCATCCTGAGAATTACTGAGATCTAACATTCCTTTTTTCTTCTTTCTAGATTTGTAAACCTGTCAATCATCTGTCAGAAGTAGTCCCGTCTGAACAATAGGTGAATCTTCGATGGAGAGCTCACCCCGGGGGGTATGTTGATCCGTAAACTGCTGATTTGACTCAACTTGCAGTACGCTTTGATCCTGACACTCATCCAGAACTTGAGTACCCTCTTCTCTCGTAATAGGTGGTTCAAAGACATTTCGGTTAGCATCTGCTACAACAAAATTTGTAGTATTTGTGATCTGAGGAAGAACCGCCTCAACAACGGTAGGCGAAAGCTGTTGATCTGGTTGGTGAGGAGTAACCCTATGAGTCAAATTTTCATTTAACATTTTTGGAAGATTAATAGTGTCTGCTACAACAAAATTTGTAGTATTTGTGATCTGAGGAAGAACTGCCTCAACAACGGTAGGCGAAAGCTGTTGATCTGGTTGGTGAGGAGTAACCCTATGAGTCAAATTTTCATTTAACATTTTTGGAAGATTAATAGTGTCTGCTATATTTTCCTCCACATGGATGATGCTGTTAGGACCTACCGTTCTCAAATGTGAAGATTAATAGTGTCTGCTATATTTTCCTTCACATGGATGATGTTGTTAGGATCTACCGTTCTCAAATGTGGGTGAAGCCTGAAGTATTTGACAGGGGTGTGCCCAAACATTTTACAATGATTGCAGTAGTAGGGTTTTTGTTCTGCAACAATTGGTTGCCAATATCCATTGTGGGCAGTACCAAGCCATATTTCATCCACATCAGAGAGTGATATCCCTTTCAATAAGAATTCTTGCAACCGAATTATTAACAAATTTTTTAATAATAAATGTATTTTTTATATGTATATATATACATGTACACGTACATATATTTAGTTTTGTAATTGTAATTTATGCATTTTAATATGCATACATCATATTTCACGCTGATTAAGTTTTTTTTAAGCCTCCAACTTCGGTTGATGCATATTAATTTTTATTCTTTGTTGGTCACCATTTGAGTGATTTGTGAGAAGATTTGGTCATAACCAAATGATCAAATCCATAGCACAAAAAAGAAGAAAAACGTTCTCATGCGTGAGAAAGACAAAATTGAGATTCGTGAGAAATTTTTTGAGGGAAAGCTGTGAGAGAGAGAGAGAGGGAGAGGGAGAGGGAGAGGGAGAGGGGGTATATATATACTCGTACACGTTCATATATTTTGTTTTGTAATTGTAATGTATGCATTTTAGTATGCATATAAATTTTTTATGCATACATCATATTTCACGTTGATTAAGTTTTTTCTTAGACTCCCAACTTCGGTTGATGCATATTGATTTTTATTTTTTGTCGGTCACCATTTGAGTGGTTTGTGAGAAGATTTGGACATAACCAAATGATCAAATCCACAGCACAAAAAAAGAAGAAAAACGTTCTCATGTGTGAGAAGACAAAATTGAGATTTGTGAGAGAAATTTTTTGAGGGAAAGCTGATAGAGAGAGAGAGAGGGAGAGAGAGAGGGAGAGGGAGACCCACGCATGCACAGTTCTACATACACTTTATCTTCTGTTTCTTTTATATGTTCTATAAATCTAAATTTCTTGTCTTTTTAGAACATTGACTATAATTTATATTGCCGTTGGATATCAGGTTATTTCTTCAAGGTCACCTCATCTTCTTGACTTCCATGATGATCTTACCAACTTAGAAACTGCATCAAAGGTATCAAATGCATAAAAAGAAAAGTATAGAAAAGTATTGATTTAATTCTTATTTTTCTTAAATTCAACTATCTTAAGGTATTCTTTAGTGCAGATACAATTAAAATCCTTGGCTGAAGAAATGCAAGCTATTATTAAAGGCTTGGAGAAAGTGGAGTTGGAGTTGACTGCTTCTGAGAGTGATGGCCCGGTTTCAGAAGTTTTTCGGAAGGTAAGATAATTTTGCGCCGTCCCTTTAAATCGCTAGACTCTGTTGAGAACCAGTCTTTGTTGCTTGTCATGCTTGCCATAATTAGTTTATATGATTGATTTCTTTGCAAAAGCTAAGATTTTATGTTTCAAGTGTTGAAACCAAACCTAAATAGCTGCACAGTTAGGAGCTGTTTGGTAACGATTTTGATAGGTTTAGTAAATCCTATAAATCCATATTTACTGGATCCTGCCAATGACAGGATTAGTTAATGCAGGATTTAAGACAAAGTTGTGAAGGAATTAAGAAGGAATTGAATTTAAAGTTGTCATTTATTCCATTGTTATCGAAGTTAACCCAAACTACAATAGGAAAAATAAATATTATTATTGAAAGCAAATAGGTTGCTACAATCAACACACTTGAACGGGAAAATATAACAATACGACGCCCGAAAATTTGAAATAGCAACACACGCGTCACAAATAATCAAATTAGGGTGGAATCTCTGGGTGTTTGTGGTGATCAACAAGGATTTGGTAGGTGATGATAAGGTGAGAACGCAGAGAAAATGAGAGGGTATAACAACGGGACAAAATGTCCTTGTTTTCCTGGCGGCAACAAGGTGGAATTTGGTTTCACAAGTGCTAGAACAGCGGATATGCAGCAGGGAGGTGATGCAGGATGGTTGGGCCAACGTTTTGGTGGCAGGGATGTGGTCTGAAATGACTGGGACAGCAGGTGGTGGGAAGTGGAGATGATTTATGGTGGCTGGAACAGCATGCGGGGCGAGGAAATTGCTGTGAACATTGGCTGGAATGCAGAAACAGTAGGAAGGATAGTGTCGGTGATATCGGAGTTAACTAAAAAAGAGCAATAGAACATAAATATTATTGTTGAAACTTCAAAAGAATTACAACAAGAGTTTTTAAAGTAGGAAATAAAGAACACAAAGCATAACTGAGCCCCGCGGCGAGGTCGGAGATGGTAAATTTTGTTGGATGGTTGTGAGGTGGTGGCTGGTGGTCTGTGGCAAGAGGTAGAATGGTTGGGAGAGGGAAAGTATAGCATGTTTTGGGGTTGGAAGGTTGGCGGTGGCAGAGGAGAATGGTTGAGAGAGTGGCAACAATAGTAGGAGTTGATGAGGCAGCCAACAACAAGGGAGGTGCTGAATAGATTTTTAGCAGAGCATAGAAGGTTTGTGAGAGGGGTTGCGGTAGGTCTGGATAGTTTCTGTAGGGACGGACGGGAGACAATGGGGTCTATTTGGACGAACCGGAGGGGGAGTACGGCATACCTAGGTGGTTAAGGGAAGGAGGCAAGTGACAAGTGGCTGCAAGCAAGGAAGATGCAGGAGGATTAGGGGCGATAGCAGGAAGATAGGAACAAGCAGAGATAATCACCACCTTTGACGAGTTACAACTGGAGCACATTCTCACCGTCAAATATAGCCCTAAGAAAGGTGAAATGCCCAGAGTTAAAAATTTGAAATCAGCGAACAATCAAAACAAAAAGGGAGTATAATAGGAAGGGGAATAAAATAGGAAGAGTGAGAGAATTGGCGGTACTTCTTGCCCCATTGGAGTGGGAGGGAGGGCCGGTCCAGCCTCCTGCTAGACTGAGGTTCTCCCCTGTTGAACCCCTGGCCGGTTCAGCCAAGTTCCCAAGTTTTGCATCAATCGACAACTGTTTGGGGTGACTACAACAGGGAACAACGGTGGCGAGCGGTGGGGGAAGAATGCAGGAGAGGAATAGGGAAAATAAACACCACATCGGGAGAGGGCTTTATCATAATGCTTCAACTGCACGCGCGCACGCACGCACGCGCACGCGCACGCGCGTTATGATAAAGCCCTTAAATATACGTGCGTGCGTGTGTATATTTAAGGGTTATGATAAAACTACATAACCCTTAAATATACGTGCGTGCGTGCGTGCGCGCGCGCGCGCGTGCGTGTGTGTGTTATGATAAAGCCCCTTGAAGGGAGAAAATGGTCGTCAACAACCGTTTTATTCAAAACACAAAAAAACTGACTGTCTAATCTTAACACAACACACACACACACACAAAGGTTTAAAAAAGGTATCATCTATCTAGCGAGATTTAATTTAAATGTTACTTAAATATGTTATCATACAACTCCTTTGTTATTCCACTTGAAGCGTAAAATGCAAAATTGTTCTACCTCTAGTTGTGAAGGGAAATGTAGTTGTTTGATTATTTATATTTAAGGATGCTTGATATTATTTCTTATCTAGTTTCCTTTGTCATATTTCATACAAAAAATCAAATTTTTTTGTTTGTTTTGTTTATGGATCTAATTTTATGCGTGCACCTTTTTTCTTATATTTTGAATGCATCTTTATTCTTGGGGCATTTACATACATGCCACCTAACACCTATACTTTACTTTTTTACATTAATACCACCCAAATCTTTAATATCACAAAAAAAATACTATCATTTTAACTTTTAAAAAATGAAATGCACCTATTCTTGCATAGGTAATGTGGCATGTATGTAAAAATTGAAATTTCGGTCTTGGATATGTAAATACTCAGGAATTGTGTGTATGTATGTAAGTCTTTATTCTTTCTACTACTATTGAACAATTACATTTGCCTTTTAGACTCTAAAGGAGTTCATTGCTGTTGCTGGAACTGACGTGCGATCCTTATCATCACTTTATAGTGCAGTGGTGCGTTTCCTGTTCTCCCTTAGTGTAATTTAAGTATCATTGTTCAACGTACCAAATGCTCTGACAGGGTCGGAATGCTGATGCGCTTGTCCTATATTTTGGAGAAGATCCAGCACGTTGCCCTTTCGAACAAGGTAAGGGAACGATTAATTTTTTATTTCTTACAATCAGTACACTCATCAATGTGATATGTCATTTTGCTTGTTTTAAAGGTTCCCTGCAATTTGCTGTTACAAATGCAAAATTTTGAATTTTGTTTCACATCAAAGATTGAATATAAGGCTGCCATCTTGTTATAGTATATTTTTCTCAGGGAAAGGGGATACCAAGTGGTGTGTTTTATTAAAGGTTGAGTCTACGACTTCCTGGAAACAATAGAAAGTTATAAAAAATAATAATAAAAAAAAAGAAGACAAGCACGCTCAATAAGGATCACAATAACAAACTAGCTTAAGTGTCTACACATCCAAAATAACTTGGTAATACATCTAACAAAATGTCTAACAAAGTAATGAAATGGAGAATTTTCTTGAATCAGATATTAAAATTTTCATGAAGTCCAGAAAACCTAGAATGGCCAAATATTTATGAAAATAGCTAGTTTGTTATGCCCGGAGTTCGGACGCAAAGATGTGCCCGAACTCCAATGAAATCTTGCCACGTATGTCCACGTGTAAACCACTGTCCCACCAAAAAAAAAAAAAAAACGTTTTATTTTAATGCGTGGCCCGATCCGAACCGGCCCATTGCCTTGAAAATGCTTTATTTTGTCATGTGTCTCAACCCGAACCATCGAACAACTTCAAAAAAGAAAATGCTCAGCGCTGAATCATAACGCTCAACCCGTCGCTTTGAAATCAAAACCCTTCAGTGCGCCTCTCCAGTCTCTATTTTATTTATTCGCCATCGGTTGAGGTTTCACAATGCGTGACTCCGGTAGCTATAGATTTGTTTGTTTGAAATCCTTCGGACTGTCGTTGTGGTGTTTATGTTTTTTTTGAAACAAGCTTGGCGCGAGGATTTAAGATTTTTGGGTGCGAACTCATGAAATTTTCTTCATTATTTGAAACAAACTAATACACAACAATGAAAGGACACAAGGAAACCAAAATGCCTAAGAGTCGTCAAAAGTCATCCAAGTAATTTTGTTTGTGGTTGTACTTGCATTCTAAAGTTTAGCGTAATCGAGAAAAATATTGCTTCATATAGTATTTTTCTGTATTGCTCATATGATTTGCTGTAACACTTCATTTGTTTGACAACAACCCCACATTTGTTTGAGAATAACACCATACCGATACAAAAATTAAACCCACAATAACACCGAAATAAAACTAAAATAATAAAAAAATTGCACCAAAAATACACCACAATAATGTGGCGGTGTTATTGAGAAGAGATTGCGGTTATATTGTGGTGTTATTTTGGTGTTTTGGTGGTATTATTGTTGTGTTATTTAGGTGTTATTTTTGTTTTTTTCTGGTGTTATTGAAGCTGTAATATTTTGGTTTTATTAGGGTGAGAATTTGGTGTTAGTGCTTGGAATTATAGTATTGTGATGCTATTTTTGTGTTATTCATGTGTTATTGTGATATTCTTTAGATGTTATTCTCGTTTTATTCTATTGTTTTTTCGTGTTATTCTGATGTTATTGGAGCTGCAATATTTTGGTTATATTGAGGGGAATCTGATGCAGTTGAATCGTGTTACTATGATGTTCTTGTGGTGTTATTTAAGCGTAATTGGAGGAGTAATGTTTCAGTTTTATTGAGGTGGGATTTTGATGTTATTGAGGTAGGATTATGGTGTTATTGAGGTGGGATTTTGATGTTATTATTCTGTACCTCACTCGCGCGGGAGACTTCGTCTCCTGCAACCCGCTCGCCTCCATGTCCCGCCCTTGTCCCGTGCCTCACTCGAGTCCTTGCCCCGCGTCATCCTCTTTTTATTAATAGGGCCCTAAATTAGGTCCAATTCTCAACCCTTCCCGTCAAAATGGGCAAAAGATATCCACTAAGCCCATCTTGTCATATAATTTAGAAAAATCTAATGAATTGAGACATTTAGTGAGGCAGTCAGCCACTTATTCTCTAGTGACTACATAACTTAGTTCTAATAGCTCATTATTTAGCTTTTCCTTGATGAATCTATCAATCTCCATATGTTTGGTTCTATCATGTTGCACTGGGTTGTTGGCAATGCTAATTGTTGACTTTTTTGTCACACCACAACTTCATTTGAGTTTTTTTGGTCCACATCGAGCTCGACCAACAAGCTCTCAGCCACATCATCTCAGCAACTCTTAAGACCATGGTCCTGTACTCTGCCTTTGTTGTTGCCCTCGCTGCTACAGACTGTTTCTTGCTCTTCCAAGAGACCAAGTTGCTCCTACAAACATGCGGTATCCTGAGGCGGCCTTCTGTTATTTGCACAACCCACCCAGTCAGTATCATAAAAGCCCTCTATGTCTACATGTTCATTCTTTATTAATTTCAACCCCTTCCCTGTTGCACTCTTAAGGTACCTAGAATCTGATATAGTGCATCTATATGACTCTTTGTTGGATCATGCATATAGCAACACACCACACTCACTGCAAAAGAGATTTCAGGTCAAGTGTGACACAGATAGATCAGACGGCCCACCAATCTTTGGTTCATCGCACGATCAACCGGTTCTCCTGCCTCTGCACTCAGCTTGGTCTTTTGGTCAATTGGAGAGACTACAGTTTGCACGCCACCATGTATGTTTCCATCAACAAATCTAGTACATACTTTCTTTAGGACAAGACTATCCCCTTAAGTTCATGGGCCACTTCAATTCTAGAAAGTATTTGAGCTGTCAAAGGTCCTTCACTTCAAATTCATTGCCTAATCATATCTTTAATTGGGTAATCTATGCCTCATCATCATCGGTGACAATGGTGTTATCAACATATACAACTAGTGGTGTGACATTACTGTTGTTGAATGAATATAATGTTGTCTGTATTGATCTGTTAATATCCCATGCTCACAATGGTATTTTAGTTCTAAATTTGTCAAACTAAGCTCGAGGAAACTACTTCAAACCATGCAGTAACTTCTTGGGCCTACACATCTTGCTTACTGTATGGACTACTGAAATCTAGTGGTATCTTCATATATATCTCATTTAGTAACTCACCATGAAGAAATACATTCTTCACAGCAAGTTGGTGTAATCTCCACTCACTATTCACTGTCAGAAAAATCAGTGTCCTTAATGTGCTCATCTTTGCTATTAGTGCAAATGTTTCATCATAGTCAATGTTATATGCCTATTGGTACTCTTTGTCACCAGTCGTGCTTTTAACTGCTCCATCTTCCCTCATAGAGTTTGCTTCATTTTGAAGATCCACTTGCACCCAACTATCATTTTCCTCACTGGTAATGACATTATCTCCCATGTTCGGTTTTTATCGAGTGCTTTTCATGCATAGTTGTTTTCCACTTGGGATCCTCTTTAAAAATCTGCCAACACTTGAGTATAACATTCAAAGATGCAATGAATGCTCCATGTGAAGGTGATATGTTAGAATATGAAACAAAATTAACAATATCATTTTCGCACCCAAAGCAATTAGGAGGATGTCCCACATTGCTGCGAGAGATATTCCTTAAAGTTGGGGGGTTAGGAGAAGAAGGATGGCCCATATCACCTTGGAGTTCTGAGTCGAAAATGGACAATATTGGTGTCTCAAGAGATCAGGGAAGGCTGAGGCAAGGGACTAGCTGGCACAAGTGGCACTGCAGACATCGTTCCCTCATTTTGCTTATTTCTCCGTGTATACACCCTTAGCTCACCTTCGACTTAAATTTCACCTATTCTAGGTTCACTTTCCTTATTTTTCGGTTCCTCAACTGATTATCCCACATCACAAAATAAGGCATTGCTCCCACATGTATCACTGTCTCACCATTGCTACTCACCGCCCTTGTCTTATATTTATAGTATCTGGTAATTCAAGAAAGGGTGAGGTCACCTCCTAGTGTAGCATTGTTCAAATTCTCTAAATGACACATACATGCTCACCAACAACTTTTGGCAGACATACCCCCTCTAGGTATCAGAATAACCTACGGACACCTATTTCATAACTCTGGGATCCAGCTTTCTTATCGACGGTCTATTATCCTTTACAAAACATACACATCCAAACACCTTCAATGAGAGGATTCTGCTATTATCTCCTTTCAATACCTGACCATGTGACTTTCAATTCAACACCTCTGAGGGCATCCTGTTGTTCAATTGAGCAGTTGTCAAAACTGCTTGCACTATAAATGCTTTGGGACATTCATTGTGATTATTATGCTTTGGGTACCTCTAGAAGGTGCCTATTTTTTTCTATTTGCTATTCCATCGTGTGTCGGTGTGTATGAACATGCGGTTCGATTAATACTCCAACACTCTATCATGGATGTCAAAGTTGAGTCTTTCCCATCCCAGTCCAAGTATCAAAATCCTTTGTCACGTTTCAGTCTCAAGTGTTCGATCCGTCCCTTTCTCTTGGAATATCAGCTTAGAAATATCATAAGTAACAAGATATTTTAGTTGGACAATAATGACACTAATGGATAAAATGTTCATCGGAAAGAAAGAGCATGCAAAACATTGGATTAAGTCGTATAATAGGTACCCATCACTATTCTCTTACAAATTATAGGTTGTGTTTTACCATTGTTGACCTCATTTTCAGTGAGGTCTTAGTTTCGTACTCCCAGAACCCAAAATCTAGTCTTAGGAGTTCTTAATGACCATTTTAGCGAACTAGCAATGGAGCCCACCTCCCATAGAACTTTGAACCGCTTTTTGACTCATTTTTGTGCATACCCCGCATGAGTAGTCCCAAACACTCGACTCTTAGTTGCAAGGACTAAGGACTAACATGTAGAGGGCCCGAAAATGAGTTCTTACAGGATCAGACGGCCTTAGGTAAACCATTTATGACTCGAACACTCGCGAACGCCGCAATCTATGCACTCACTACACCACGCACGATGTTGACTTGAATTGACCTGACCGTTGGTAAACTTGTCAGGATGACCCCGGATGACAAAACAGACCGCACTGATGCTTCCGCAACGTCGACTTTATCTAGAAAGGACACCCA